CTGGCCAGCAAACTCACCAGACCTGAACCCCATAGAGAATCTATGGGGTATTGTCAAGCGGAAAATGCAACCCAGTCTTGTGTGAAAATAATTTAAAAGGTTTCGGAGATTTACTGCCTCTAGTGTTATTTGAGTTGAATTACTGAAATAAATGAACTTTTCCATGACATTCTAATTTATTGAGATGCACCTGTACATATATGTATAACAGAATAAACCACCATATGCCACATAAACTTCACTGTCTTAAGAATATTGAAAAAAAAACAATCACTCATAAACCTCCCAGTTTCCCTTACAAATGATTCACAGTTACAACTGTAACAATAACCAATAGAACACATACTGTACACACACACTCATTAACAGCTCTGAACGATTCACTGACTGAACAAGTTTGATTCAAACTGCAACCTGTGAGTCATTTTGACCAACTATTTAAAAAAGAACTAGTTCAAAGGAGCCATTTGTTTGAGAATCAGGACTCGCTCTGTGTTCACTGTTGTAAGCAGGAACCTGGACAAGAACTTCACTAGATATCTGACAAAATGACGTGGATGCCTACATTTTTTACCGATTATTGGCAATGGCAACTAGATAAGTCTATATAATGAAATATTAGAAATATATATTTAACATTTAGTTAGATTAAAAAAAATCTGACCCCTTCTATCTATCTCATGAGATTTATGGACAGCGTATTCAGTTTTCCCTAATTTTCTTTTTTTTTTTGCATTTCAGCGTTTCTGCAGGTTCTATGAAGGTAAACTTGAATTTAAGACATCAGTATGTTTTCAAAAATTATTTTCTTAATATTTTGTCTTGTTTTCTAGTATAAATATCTAAACATTCTTGAATCAAGATGCATTTACTTGAAGCAAAATTATGTAATATATTAAGTCTTGTTTTCTGTTTAAAAAAAAAAAATCAACATTTTGTTAGTTCTGCCAAATGAATAAGAAAAATAATCTTAATTCAAAGGCAAAACAAGATTATTTTTCTTGCCCAAGATATTTTTTCTTGTTTTGATGTTCAACTCTCTTCTCCAAACTTTACAACTGTATCTGAATATGGATTTATGTATAAAACTAAATGATTGTTACATTTACATTACATTTATGCATTTAGCAGATGCTTTTATCTTCTCTTTGTCAAAGAGCCAACAATAATCATAAAATACAATGCCATGTTTATTAGACAACTAGATTAGGAAGCAAGCTAGAGAAAAGGAAATATGCAAAGAAGAAAAAGAAGTTTCTCTTTCGTAACTTCATAACTTCTTCTCTTTCATAACTGTTCCTATTTTTCTTTCCACTCACCATCATCAGATCCAGTCATACCCTTTATTCTGTGCTATAGGTTCTTCAGCAGACCTGACTGCTCAGAAACCCACTTTCTTTTTACACACGCCAACATCCGAAACATCTTAAAATAGACGCTAGATTTCCCTGGAGGAAAGCACACATTGTTTCCCCCTCATGTTTCCCTGTCATTATCCTCGTAAAATAAATGGCTTCTAACTGCATCGCCTCGAGAGCCAATATCAGTGCGCTCAGCAACATGCGACCCACTCTCTATCCAACCTAACAGTGGGAAATTATGAGTCATGCTAATGTTATAGTTTGCTAAGCCACAAAAATGTTCATCTTTTTGTTTGAATCATGCTGAAGGGCATTTCAGTGGATGCTGGGGGTACAAATGAAGACATTTTCCCAGAATAGTGGCACATATAACAGAAAACAGAGCGTTACGTATGTTTAGTGCACTCACATACACACACCAGTCTATTAAAACATCTCAGAAATCCAGCAGGTCATAAAAATAAAAACTTGAGCCAGTAGATGGCATCTCTGGCTTTGTTTGACCCACCATGAGCGCACAAACAAACCTGCCTAGTCTTTTCATTTCATGCAAAACTGTCCAAATCAATAGCCTGCAGTGCATTTGATCTCAAACAGCTCACATGAAAAGTACAACCAAACTAATCAATCATGTCTGGACATTATAATATTATGTGATCAAAATCAAATCAACAGCACCTCAAACAGTTAGTATGAAACCATCTTGACTCACCAATGACGCTCACTTGAAATCAAGAGATGCTCGACAGTTTTTGTGTAAACTTAGGTTGATTTTTTCTCCTGAAATCTGCCAGTCTATGAATTAATTAATTTTCAATTAAAGCATGACAAGGATGTTTAAAAGAATCACTTGGCGGCCATCTTGGCAACAACCCCTATGCTCATTATTTTCAAGTACAGCTGCTACCTGCTGAAATGTCCAAAACTGTTGGCCAAGCATGTGTCAAGTCAGAAATAAAAAGCATAAAACATTTATTTTTTAGCAGTTACTCAGAAACAGTTATGTTGCACATGCATGATGTCCTCCACTTCTCCTTTGATTTACACACAGCCCATTCTGAGCAAATGAGAAAAGTTACTTTTTGTTGAGTAGAATTTTGCCAAAACAACGATAACAAAAGTTCTAAAAACGTGCTAACAGTTCTGTTAAGTTGAATGTTCTCTAAGCATTCTAAACATCCTTTTTTAAAACATTTTTAAAACGTTATATGTAAACGTTAAGTGAGTTGAATGATTAAAAACGTATGATTCATGATTTAAAAAAATAAATATCTGCCAATGGGCTCCAAAAAAAAAAAAAAAAAAGCAAGACTGACTGATTTAAGACCTTTTAAAGCCTTAATTTGTAGAAGGTCAAATGAAGACTTTTTAAGACCTGCAGAAACCATGTAAACATTATTGGAAACGTTACTTTTGAATGTTCTCTGAACATTCTGAAACAAGTTGTAACATTTAAAAAAAAGTTAGTAGAGCATCCAACTGAAATATTTCAGGGGGGAAAAAACTCCATGAATTATGTAACAATAATGTCTTTTTTTTGTGCAAACAGTTTTAGAACATTATCAAAAACAGATAACTTTGAACAAACATTCTAAACAGTAACTGGAAGAATGTTAGCCACAGTTCTAAGAATGTTACCGGTTTATTGTTTTCTTAAATTTTCTTAAAATTGAATTGATGTTGGCAATTTGCAACACAGTGCGATCTAACGTAGAGACGCTACCGGCCGTTATCAAGTGACCAAAACCTTAACATCACAGTCAGCGTCCATCATCAGCTCCTGCTATCAGCCTCCAGCCTCTTAGTTCCTGCTATTTGATCACTTCTGTAGCTCAAAGACTTTGATAACAGACTCAGACTGTGTTGAAAGTGGACAAACGTCAGTCCGGTATGTTTTGTAGTTGGATAAGCTGAGGTTAATGTTTATGAGAGGACTGATGTTTGCTTGGGTTGGAGTGAGATTGAACCGTCTGATCTATACGCTTAGTATTGTCAGCATGCTGATATGCTGTTGTGATCATGTTTTGTGTAGCAGCAGTCCTGCAAATGTAATATTAGTTCACAGCGAGTCATTTTTGTTGATTTAGAGAGCCGACTGCTATCTAGATTCAAGAACTGGTGAAATCAAAGCTACTGTCTCCTTAAAAGACATGATGCAGACTCACTAACACCGCCACATGTGACATGACTCTTCAGGGTCTCTGTCATATGGAATAAGAGAAATATTCAGGATGTTTTTAGCATTTCTTTCAGCTGCACAACACCTGCAAACGTTTCAATACTGGAAGAATTGGGGGTGTACAGATGAAAACTCCTGTTGTTCCTCTGTGTGTGTGCATGAAGAAAATATAAAAAAAAGAAAATGCAAGTTAGCTCAAAGTTAACAAATATTTTTTGGGGTATGTTTTCCTAGAGGCTGGAACAAGGCAGTTGTAAAATGTAATAATGAATAAATATAAATATTGAAATAAATATATATAATAAATACAAAAATGAAAATACATAAATTTTGTCAATTACCCTACCTTATTTAAATCTTAAACAATACTCAATATATGTAATTATTTAATATATTTTTGTTATTTAATACTGTATGTGTGTATATATATATATATATATATATATATATATGTAACACACACACACACACACACATATATAAATATACACACATACAAGTATATATTTAATAAATATATACACACAATTTTTTACCTATTTTAGCTAAAAAATTATTACAAATCCAAAATAATCGATTTGAATCAAACTGAATCACAATCAAATCTTTGCCAGAGCAGCTATTTACATACCTAATGGGAAATATATTTTGTCTCCTCTCATAAGTGAAATATGTAATTTTTACAGATCATCTGGCCGTTTGCCTTACCAGATGCTGGAGGGTCGTTCAGCAACTCCTAAAGACATTTGGGAATATGAGGGAGGCCATCATTTCTCAGAACTGGACTGAGACACATGTTAAACACATCCTCTCTCCCCTTCCTCAGCAGATGAAAGGGACGATGAGTGAGGATTTGCTGAAAAGCTTGATAACTGAACCTCTGATGCATTACTATCAGCTACACCAGAAAGGAAGAATCAGATGGAATTCAGTGTAATCATAGTATCTGAACGTGTGTGTGTGTGTGTGTGTCCTCGCACTTACCTCTGATGGAACTGTGTGAAGTGTGTGTGGGGTGATGTAAATGCATAGGTCCTTTATATTGTCTCTTTTAGTAGTTTTTGCATTGGAATATCAGCTCTATCATTGGATTATCCGTCTCTTTTGCTTTGTATAATTTGAAATTTGAAGTTAATAGTAATCTGACGACAATGTTAAAATGTTTAATTTTGACTTTAAGACTAATTATTTTGAAAAAGTTAACTTTAATCATTGTAAAAGCATCAAAATCACATCATTTAGCTCTATCCCATCTAAATACGTTTGTATTGCTCTTTTAATCATAATATTCTTCCGTCCGTCTGCACAAACTAATATCAGCAGTCTCAAACTCCACAGAAGTATGAGCTAATAGCATTTGTTCTGCTTAAACTTAGAATTTTGTATGAGTTGTACAATGTACAGTGAAACTAAAGACAAACTAAAATACTTTCAGCTAAGACAGACCAATCACAATTCAGTATGTAAATATGATGATGACATCACTGCTTCCTGTTACATTTTGAATGCTGAATATTGTAACACTTTTCAAACTTTTATCTTAATGTACTTCATCATAATTCAGTGAATGCTTCTATGACATCATCACTGTCGGTTGTATTTTGAAGGTGTAAACAGTTCCTCAGTGTATGTTAAAGTGATACACTGATTTTAAGATTTAAAGGGATAGTCCACCAAAAAAATGAAAATTCTGTTTTCATTTACTCAGTCTCATGTTGTTCCAAACCTGCATGACTTTTTTGCTCTGGTGGAACACAAACGAAGAAATGCCAAAGAATGTCAGTAACTGAACAGTTTCTGTTCCCATTGTACAGACAAAAAAAAAAAGAAAACCTGTTTGGCTATCAACATTCCTCAAAATTTCTTCTTTTGTGTTCAGCAGAAGACAGAAATGGTTTGGAACGTGATGATGGTGAGTAAATTTTGACAGAATTTTGGGTGGACTGTCCCTTTAAGATTTGAAAGTAATACACTGTAAACGTTTTAATCTTTTAAAAATGCACTTCATGTGGCAACATTCAAATTAATTAATTTAATTCAAACTCAAAGTCTAAAATACTACATTAGGTTACACTATCAAGTCATTTTTACGGGTCAGATTAGAAATAGTTCCTTAAGTATTCACTTTTTACACTAAAATCTTGAATTAGCATATTAAGCATATTAAGCTTATTTAATATTTAAGCTTACTTTATCAATATCAACATTAAAATTATGTACAAAACAAGTTTACACCAAACATTTGGAGCTTAATTAATTGCTAAAAACTGTGGAAAGAACAAAAAAATAAAAAGTAAATATATGGGATTTGAAGACTGCCCTGCAGTCTGTTTAAATCTGTGTAAAGGTGTGAGTGTGTGTTGGAGCTCATAGTCCGTGTGTGTATCTGTGGCGTGGAGGGCTGTGTTGGGGTGAAATGGCATTGATGTGATGTCCTACACGTCTCTCCACCGTCTTTAGGCGCTCTTGCAGCTCCTGGCGCTCCCGTTCCGCACGGCGGGACACTTTTCGGGCCTTCCTCAGAGAATGCCTCAGTTTCCCCACTCGTTCTTTTAACTGTTCGTTCTTCCTCTCCAGCTCGGCCAAGCGCTCCTCAAGCTGTCCAACCCGCTCCTCCTCCTCAAACAACACCTTTTGCACTGAGGAACACAGCAGCTGAAAGATAAAACGACAGACGGTTACTCGTGTGCAGAGATCTGTGCATGTATTGACAACCTGACCCTGTGGAATGAAGGTCAACATACAACATGACATCATTTCCAGCCTCCGTCAGCCTTATTACTTCCTGCTGAGCACTGCCTTTCTTCTCTGGGCCCCTACACATGCCAGTGTGTGTGTGATGGAGGCAGTTCAAAAGTGACCTGCTGTCATGCCCACAGTAGACACAAGCCGAGGCATGCTGTGTGTGTGTGTGCACATGTGGAGAGTGTGTGATTACATGGCCGTGTCTGTGTGTATTTGAGCAACGGGAGGCCGTATGTTCTCCCTGAACAGCGGAAAGGTCTAAATCCCTATTGTAAAAGGCCAAAGAGTGTCACATGATGTTAAAGGTCACCACATGAGCTAATTGAACAAAAAGTTAAGCACAAATGACATGAAAACGAATGGCCACGAAGGCCAAACATAGCCTGCTCTGCTTTTAGACCCAAACTAGACCCAGATGAGTGTTTATGAGAAAAGATAATTAGATAATAAAAGAAAGACTGAAGAAGAGAGTTTGGGTAGAACGATAGATAGACGATAGGTTTTGGCCATGCTCTTCAGAATCCAACATGATATTAGCTGAAAATACATTATGCATTGAGCGTTTGACTGTGTAGAGTTTAATAAAGCATAATGGATGTTTAAGATGGATTATACAAGAAGCAGGGGGTGACATAACTAACAGACACGGTGCCAGCTACAGTCACAAGAGCACAAAGTCCCTTAGGCAGCCTCAAACAATCCTTTTCCCACAGGAAAGCTCCTGTGTAAAACAGCTCTCATTATCTCTCTGAGGTTCCCGCGCCTGATAATCACCCCCACCTGTTCCTGCAGCACACACACCATCATTATCTTTATCTTCTCTCTGCATCTGTCTGTCTCTCTGTGCAGATGTGATTAGTGAAGTGTCCCGGTGTATCTTTTTTGATTTGTAATACTTGAATGAATGTAACAGTATTTTAAAGAAATGTTCAGGGTTCAGAAAAGATGCTGTTAATAGAGCTTAAATGGTTTCGAATCTGAATATCCCTTGTTTGCATCTAGACAGACCGACTGTCACATCTGTTTAGCTTAGTGGACACCTGTTAGAGGAACCCTGCACCTCCTCAGGTCACTGGCTTTAACCTTGACATGTATAGACGCACACAAAAACACTTCTGACAGCTTTTGATGCATAAAAGTTTTCTATAATTGATTTCAATACCTTAAATTCTGAACACATTTTTTCCTTAATTGCATATACACTTCCATTCAAAAATTTGGGGTCAGTAAGATTTTATTTAAATTAACATTTTTGAAATTAATACTTTTATTCAGCAAGAAAGCATTAAATTGATCAGACTTTGACATTGTTGTAAAAGTCTTGTGACACTAAAGACTGGAGTAATGGCTGCTAAAAATTCAGCTTTGCCATACCAGGAATACATTTTAAAATATATTAAAATAGAAAACAGTCATTTTAATTTGAATAATATTTCCCAATATTACTGCTTTTACTGTATTTTGGTTGGCATAAGAGACTGGGAATTTAAAAATAAGATTGTATGCCGTGTACAGTCAAGATAAGAGCTGACTTATTCAATATAATACTTAAAAAAGTATCTGGACATTCAAATCACCCTGTATGAACGTAACTGTTAGATAACAAAATATCAAACCATGTTTCATCTACAAAAAAAAGAAAGAAAGAAAACTGAAAATTGATTTCCTTAACTTTTTAAAGTTAGTGGACGAAGTCAGTTTCCTTCAAATTTGACAACCTGAAAGTATCCAGATAATTTTTGTCTTCATTTTGAACAGTATATATATTGTTTTTATCATTTAAAACCTGAAAAAAAAATCCATTTTACTTTTTTTTCTGAAAGAAATAGAATTTGCTTTGATATTTTTTATTTTCTACTGCAATGAAATTCATGCATTGTGGCCAAATGCTTTTTTGTTTGACTGTATACGTTTGTCTGGAAGGAAAGGGAGATTCCCGCTGGTTCACTCCCTGAACTTTTCTCTGTTGGTATATTATGCTCAATAAATCTGAAACAGTGTCATCCTAGCTGATGACTGTTTTCGGTTAGTTGAAGTGGCTATTAGTCTGTACGTTCAGGCATCTCATTGTGTTTGTCTTAAAATAAACCCCTCCCCTCTGACAGTAGACTGCAGTCCGACTAATGAGCGGTTTTGTGTTTGAATGTACAGCAGGTAAATTTCATCAAGGCAAATATATCTGACTCCACTTGATACTGTGTGTGTGTGTGTGTGCTACATCCTCCAAAACCCCTGCCATAACCTCCGAGGACCCCTGACATTCCTCCCATTCTGCCTTGAACCGTCCACATCAAACGCATGATTTATTTTCCTTTCAAAAGCCACCAGTTTCCCCGAGAGGATGTCCACATGCCCAGCTGACGTCTCCCTCACTCTTTCTCAATCTTCTTTCTATCTCAGCTTTATTTTCGGTGGCAGATGTGTGTGTTTAGGTGAGACAGACTATCCGTGAGTGTGTGTGTGTATGTGTGTAAGGTAGAGCAGCTCTAGCTGGGAGGTCTTTAATCTGGCCTCTATCGAGCCGAATGAACTCTCTTGAATTACCTCAGCCTCCTACCGTGATGAACAGTCACAGTCATCGATACAAAGACCACCAAAGAAAGGGAATTGTGTGTCTAAGTGTGTGCTGTATGAAGGCGCTCCATTTACCCATGAGAACCTGAACATGGTACTTTGGTATTATTCTCACTACCTGTGTTAATCAGATTCCTCGATTCCTTAATGCAGCTTCAGTTGTGTTTTCTCCAGACGCTAGTGCAGAACTAGTGGAATGGAAATTGCCTGCTGTTTTAATGTTAAACACAGGTAAAAAAATAATGCAGTTGTGCATGCAGACACTCCTGTCTTCATAAAAAGCCATTTACGAGACTCATGAATTTACAACTGTGCCGTTTCAAAACACTGAACACTCTCATAACATCTGCCTGTAACGATGCAAACAAGCTGGCTCAAACACGTATACATACTGATGTTCACCTTTCGTGGATTTATGCCTTTAAGATCTCTTGTCTTGACAAGATACATCGTTTTCATTTATGTCTGCCACTCTATAGTGCATATTGAGCCCATCTGTGTGTGTTTATTGGTGTCGTACCCTGCTGTCTTCCTGGCTCTCCCAATCACTATTAAAGTTGTGTATCGTCTGTCCACCAGTGCAGTTTGAGAACTGGAAGAGGCTGGAAAACAGTCGTCTGTTCTCCAGCGTGTCAGGGAATATGGCATCCTGGAAGTTAACTCCATGAGGGAGGATGTTGTAGTTTTCATCCATCCTGTAAGAGACATGCACATGTTTGTTTGCATATACTTGTGAGGATGTCTTATTGACTTGATTACTTAAAGGCACAATATGTACGATTTTTTTATTAAAATATCCAAAAACACCTAGAACAGTGTTATATATTTTGCTGACTTGTGTACTTACATTATCCCAAATGTTTCGAAGAATGTTTAAATCCAGAGAAATAAGCAATTTTAACTAGTGACACGGAGCGTGTCCATAGTGTCATTGTGTCGCCTGCTAATGACGTCATAACCCCTCAATTTCCAGTTTTGTAGAAAACATGGAAACACCAAAGACACATTAATATGTTGTGCATTTTAATAGACCGGTGACGACCGCACAGAGTAGCATTATAACAGAACTTTCAAATGTATCTAGTATGAAGCGCTGCTTTTTTTCCCCACATACGCACGACCGGAAGGAGCGGAAGCGGTTGACTGTGGCATAATAAAAGCTTACTAAAACAAACTGAACATAAAAATGTCCAACTGTTGTTTTATTAATGAGCATCAGTTCTTGAAAATAAATAGACATGCATTGTTTGAGTCTTCAGGTTTTTTTTAAGATAGGTAAAAGAGGCATCTCAATCCCTAATTTTAATGTTTTAAATTAATCTTATAAATCAAACGTCAATTTAGCAGTTCATTTCAAGTCAGAAATCTAAAAATAACAATAATAATAATAATTTGTGGTTCAGTATGTGAGTAGAATGATTTAATAAAACTACCCCAATTCTTACGTAGAATCTGTTCCAGTCTTTTTGTTTGGGAATCGTACTACATTGGTCCTGCTGTATGTTTCTGTTTAACTAAAAAGAACCGGCTGGTTGCACTGAATGTTTTCATGAACTAAAAAGAGCCTGTTCATAAGAGTCTTTCGTTTGGGAATCGGACTACACTGGTCGCGTTGTGTTATTTCTGACTCACTAAAAGAACCGGCTCTTTGTCATACGTTTGGGAATCGGACTACACCGGTCGCACTGAATGTGTTTATTTGCTGAAAACAACTGGCTCATAATAAGAGTCATTCGTTTTGGGAATACGACTTCACCGGTTGCACTCAATGTTTTGATTCACTAAATGGTTCATAAGAGTCATGGCCATTAGTAGCGGTGCTGTACTGAATGTTAGCGCAAAAAACAATGCCAAAATATCTAAGGCGCAAGAATACATCTTCGAGAACCTATACGGAATCGTACATCATGGAATTTATTAGATTTCCCCCAATTAAAGTTCAGAATAAGAACTGGTTCTTGGTTTTTAAACAGAAGTGAACCCACCTGAGAAAGAATATGTAGGAGTTGTTTTCCATCACCGCGTGTGACTGACAGCTAAAGTACCCGAGTCCCGTGAGGTTGAGGCGAGAGCCCGCGGGCACCTCCAGCATGCCGCGTACAGCAGCGCGTCCTCCGCGCGCTCGTGCTTCAGGTACGGCAGGTAATTGTAAAGGCTGGACGCGTACGGCTCCTCGTGGATGGCCAGCACCTTGGCGTACACAATAATCTCGGCGAGTTCAGCTCGACAGCCCTCGCTCAGTGGTCGCCACTCGCTGGGCAGCTGACACGCAAACGCGAACCCGAAACCCAGCGTCAGCAGAAGCGCAAGGTGCATGCTTCCCGTGCCAGTAAATAAACCCACGCGTAAAAAGTGCTCGTTCACGGGTTCAGTGGATAGGCAATGCAAGTGAAAGCACCCATGCAGCGGCCCGGGATCAGTTCACATAGTCCCCACCTGCTCAAATTGCTGTAAATTCACAAGTACGAGTTCCCACGTCCTGCTCCTCCTCGATCCATCACTCCTAAAGTTCGTCTCAGGCCAATCGGACGCGCTGGAGTTTAAACAGCCAATAGACGCGCTGCGTCCTGCGTCCTGCGTCCATCCAGCAGCCTCACTGCTGCGTTCCTGGACGGCATTTGGACTCATTTTCTGTCTTTATTGATTATACAGGGAGAAAACAGATCACTGTTCATGGAATTCACTTTCTAAAAAAAGTGACTTTAGGGAACGTATGGGCTCTTTACTTTTCAGTCATGGAAAAGTTTATTTTACTAAGCAATATGAAGTAGTTTGTCTCTGTATTGTGTTGCCCATTTAAAATGATTTAAAGGGGTCATATGATGCGATTTCAAGTTTTCCTTTCTCTTTGGAGTGTTACAAGCTCTTGGTGCATAAAGAAGATCTGGAAAGTTGCAAAGACTAAAGTCTCAAATCCAAAGAGATATTCTTTATAAAAGTTCAGAGTCAGCCACACCTATCTAAAACGGCTCCTTCTAACACGCGCCCACATATCTACCTCACTTTGTGGGAAGATTTGCATAACGCCACCCAAATGTTCACGCAAAGAAAGAAGGCGTAACTTTTAGTCTCACTGTAGTTTTGTTGACGCTGCAGCCATGTCGTGAAGACGCTGTGTGCTTCGTTGTGAAAGCGAAACTACTTTGTTTGGTCTTCCAAAAGAGGACAATATCCGCTTCGTCATGCCTAGAGCTGATCTGTGCTGGTCGCTGAGG